TTGACACTCTTTCATGAGGATCTTTCTTGCTGTAATCTATTTATTTTCTCATCAGCAGTGAAAGGGTATTGGAAAAGAAAGACAAAACAAATGAAATGCATGTCTCAACCCTTTGCTTTCTTAATCATGATGTTTGATTATTTTTTTCAAGTTCTTGATATTATGATGAGTACAGGAATGTACAGCTACTTACATGGTTCAAGAATGTCTGATAGGCATAGAAATAGGTCATCATGCAATGTAACTGGTATAGGCCACAACTAGTAGAAGTGAAGTTTAGGATGTCATCATTTTGTTTGATCTTGTATAAATGTATGTCAACATCCATTTTATATCTTGTTCAATGGGTATGATATCACAATATATTCATCATTGTACTGTTAACTCTCTGGTGGCACTTATCTTGCAAAGTCAGTTTCACTGGTGGCATTTGTCATGTTATGTTAATTTCAAAGATGGCTATGTTAACTTCACTGGAGGCTTTTGTCTTGCTATGTTAACTTCACTGCTGGCTATCGTCCTGTTATGTTAACTTCACTGGTGACTATCGCCTTGTTATGTAAACTTTACTGGTGGCTATCGCCCTGTTATGTAAACTTTACTGGTGGCAATCGTCCTGTTATGTAAACTTTACTGGTGGCTATCACCCTGTTATGTTAACTTCACTGGTGGCTATCGTCTTGTTATGTAAACTTCACTGCTGGCTATCATCTTGTTATGTAAACTTCACCGCTTGCTATCGTCCTGTTATGTTAACTTAACTGGTGGCAATCGTCCTGTTATGTTAACTTCATTGGTGGCTATCATCTTGTTATGTTAACTTCACTGCTGGCTATCATCTTGTCATGTTAACTTCACTGCTGGCTATTGTCCTGTTATGTTAACTTCACTGGTGGCTATCGTCCTGTTATGTTAACTTCACTGGTGGCTATCATCTTGTCATGTTAACTTCACTGGTGGCAATCATCTTGTTATGTTAACTTCACTGTTGGCTATCGTCCTGTTATGTAAACTTTACTGGTGTCTATTGTCCTGTTATGTAAACTTTACTGGTGGCTATCGTCTTGTTATGTTAACTTCACTGGTGGCTATCATCTTGCTATGGTCACTTCACTGGTGGCACTTGTCTTCCTTATGCCATGCCATAAACTCAGTGTATGATAATGGAAGATGTGACCAATGAAGCGTGGAACTGTGAGGATTAGCCTCATTCTCACGAGAACCAATTCATACCCAGTGTACTAGCACTCACCCACATGCCAAGGAGGTAAAACAAGATTAATGGTCCGATCTGGCTAAGGAACCAGCAAATTGTTTGTGACACGAATGTTCTCTGGGAGTAGACATGTGTGCGAGTTAGTGCTTCAGACTTGCATCAGGAACATGTTTTAGGCTTATAACTCTTAGCATGGTCAGTTAGCCAATTCACTTCTTTAACCAAGCTGATACAAAATGCTGCTGATATTTTATCTGAAGTCATAGACATAGGAAACTGACAATGTAACTTACTAACGGATGAGTAAATTAAGATACAGCTGAATTTCTTCTTCACATCCTTCAGCATCTTAAATATAAAACATTGTAGTGCATCAAGGTAACCATGGTTACAGGTCACCTGGTTCTCCTGACTTTCTGGCATTAATGCAAACATCATGCTTTAATTGGTTATTGAACATGATTTTGTTGTTCTTTGGCTTGATTTATTATGTAATGTACTTGTATTTGTGATGATGCATGTAATAATATGACAGAATGGTTTTAATTGTTCTAAACATTCTTCTGGTAGCGAGTTTAAGGGTTCTGTAGAAATTTCTTGATGATCCCAAAAGTGTGTTCAGATCTGTGTCTGATGTAATGGGTTGATGTGGCTTATCCATATTATGTTAAATACTGTCTCAGTTGTTTAGCTGACAGAGCAATACTTCTCTGGTTAAAGAGCCAGCTGGGTTATGACATATATATCATGGCTTATACCATATCCTGGATAACATCATGTCATGGGTTATCACATTATGAGTTATCAGGTTATCATATCCTAGATTATATCATGTCACGGGGTATCATGGGTTATCACATATCCTAGATTATTTTATGTCACGACAGTAATCAGGTTATCATATCCTAGATTATTTCATGTCACAGGGTATCACATTATGGGTTATCAGGTTATCATATCCTAGATTATTTCATGTCACGGGGTATCACAGTATGGGTAATCAGGTTATCATATCCTAGATTATTTCATGTCACAGGGTATCACATTATGGGTTATCAGGTTATCATATCCTAGATTATTTCATGTCACAGGGTATCACAGTATGAGTTATCAGGTTATCATAACCTAGATTATATCATGTCACAGGGTATCACATTATGGGTTATCAGGTTATCATAACCTAGATTATATCATGTCACGGGGTATCACAGTATGGGTTATCAGGTTATCATATCCTAGATTATTTCATGTCACAGGGTGTCACATTATGGGTTATCAGGTTATCATATCCTAGATTATATCATGTCACAGGGTATCACATTATGGGTTATCAGGTTATCATAACCTAGATTATATCATGTCACCGGGTATCACAGTATGGGTTATCAGGTTATCATATCCTAGATTATTTCATGTCACAGGGTATCACATTATGGGTTATCAGGTTATCATATCCTAGATTATTTCATGTCACAGGGTGTCACATTATGGGTTATCAGGTTATCATATCCTAGATTATATCATGTCACAGGGTATCACATTATGGGTTATCAGGTTATCATATCCTAGATTATTTCATGTCACAGGGTATCACATTATGGGTTATCAGGTTATCATATCCTAGATTATTTCATGTCACAGGGTATCACAGTATGGGTTATCAGGTTATCATAACCTAGATTATATCATGTCACAGGGTATCACATTATGGGTTATCAGGTTATCATAACCTAGATTATATCATGTCACAGGGTATCACATTATGGGTTATCAGGTTATATCATAGATTATGTCACATCATGAATTATATCACATTGTGGGTTATATTATGTCTTGATTTATATCATATAGGTTAGCATCACATCAGAAACTCAGGTTTGATTTGCAGTGGCACTCTCTAGCAAAGTGTTTGTTTTTCTTTCACAAATGCATATATGTAAGTTGAATTTTCGATGTGGCCAGGAGGCATGTCTCTGTTTATAGCGTTAGATAATAGGTCTGTAGAAGTAGATGGGCCTACACAAAATCACATTACCATCACTTACATTGTAATGGGACACTGTAGGTGTCCCCAGAGTGTAGATTATTTAATGTAGGATAATGGTAAATGGATTGGTTTTTTTTTAAGTTTTTTTTTTCATTTTTTTGTGTGCTGTAATCATTCTGATCATCAGACTTGAATTGATGAAATGTTTGGAGAATCTTTGATATTGGTTATTAAACCTTTACTTATAGCTTAGATAAGAGAACACTTCAGATGGTTGAGACAATAAGTGGAAAATGTGGGTGGGATTGTTTAGAGTGTTTAGAAAGTTAAATATCTTTAATTCTTTAAATAAAATGAGTGAAAAACGTTTAGACACTCGGTGGAAAAGCTGAGATAAGTTATAAAGTCAAAACTTTAAGACTGGGTATAGTACAATGTTAATAATTGGTTCAGTATAATGTTAAGACTGAGTACAGTACAATGTTAAGACTAGGTGCAGTACAATGTTAAGACTAGGTGCAGTATAATATTTAGACTGTGTGCAGTACAATGTTAAGACTGGGAACAGTACAATGTTAAGACTGGGTACAGTACAATGTTAAGACTAGGTGCAGTACAATATTAAGACTAGGTGCAGTACAATATTAAGACTGGGTGTAGTACAATGTTAAGACTTGGTGTAGTACAATGTTAAGACTGGGTACAGTACAATGTTAAGACTGTGTGCAGTACAATGTTAAGACTGTCAACACTCCAACCCCATCCCCGCCCTGAAAGGTGAGTGATTTATGCCCCAGGCCTAATGTTTTCAAATTTGGTTGCCATTGGAACAGATAAATCAGTTGGGTATTTTATTTGAAAATCAGAGCATTAGATTAATTTGGAATGTGTTTAGGGTACTGTTAAAGTGTCAAGTCCGTGTATCTTCATTTACAAACCATACGTACATATTGTACTCATGTCACAGCCCTCCATCTTGTATCAAAGAGGAACAATGATCATTATTATTAACCTCTGTAGAACAGTACTTACAGATAAAGCCATACAGTGCATGCTGAAAGATACACTCTAACACCATTACTACATTACCAAAACATTATTGATAAAAGGTAACATCTTTTGATGCACTTTAGAATTACTTGGGTATGCCTGCAGCATAACAATTAGTTAGTAATATATAAGATACTCACTTACAGTACTTGGTTCTGCATGTTTAGATATAAAAGAATTAAACATTGGAATATATTCTGGTATTGTTACCAGGACATGCTTGTATTTTGGAATGCTATTAGAAAATACTTATATTGCTAAAATAATCTTGCATTACAAAGGACAGATTAGGACAACATCTTCCAGGCATATACATGAACTTTTTTAAAAGAGAAATAATGGCTGTGTAACAGAGGGCATTACTCATTTCAATATCTCTGCTAGGATTCAAACCGGGGACCTATGGCTTACTAGTCTGATGTTTAACCAATCCTGCTAGAGAGGAGTTGTCTCTAGCTGAGGAGTATATTGCAGCTAGTATTTCCCAAGGGTTATGTACCCTTCCAGGAAATTACTTGTCCTCAAGTTCTGTGGGGTTTTAGTTGTGCTCTAATTATAAAAGTATTGCTAAGTATATAATTATCCAGGCAGTATCATTTTGGCAGGTATTTTATCAAGTTTTCATAAGAAAACACTTCAACATCATTAATAGATTAAATGCATATGTTATAGAATCACCAAAGTTACATTTACAGATACAGACTAATGCCATTTACCACTTTCTAACCAATTTTTCTTTTTTTACAGATAAGGCAGCTAACTGTGATCACAAGTTCTCCTTTAAAATGCAACAAAAGGGTACCTTCATGTCACCAGGCTTCCCAAACAAGTACCCTCAGGAAGTGGAGTGTAGTTATTTCTTCCATGCCTCTCCAGATGGTCGTATCAAAATCAGTTTTGACTACTTCAACCTGGAGGTGCGTTCAGATAAGGGGTATGTACAATTATAAACAAACAAATTATCTCTAGTTCAGGTTTGCACCTAAAGTAAGTCTATGGGTCAGGTATATACCAAAATAGAATCTCTGATCCAGGTACAATATACCAAAATAGAGTCTCTGATCCAGGTACAATATACCAAAATAGAGTCTCTGATCCAGGTACAATATACCAAAATAGAGTCTCTGATCCAGGTACAATATACCAAAATAGAGTCTCTGATCCAGGTACAATATACCAAAATAGAGTCTCTGATCCAGGTACAATATACCAAAATAGAGTCTCTGATCCAGGTACAATATACCAAAATAGAGTCTCTGATCCAGGTACAATATACCAAAATAGAGTCTCTGATCCAGGTACAATATACCAAAATAGAGTCTCTGATCTTATACCAAAATAGAGTCTCTGATCCAGGTACAATATACCAAAATAGAGTCTCTGATCCAGGTACAATATACCAAAATAGAACTCTGATCCAGGTACAATATACCAAAATAGAATCTCTGATCCAGGTACAATATACCAAAATAGAATCTCTGATCCAGGTACAATATACCAAAATAGAATCTCTGATCCAGGTACAATATACCAAAATAGAATCTCTGATCCAGGTACAATATACCAAAATAGAGTCTCTGATCCAGGTACAATATACCAAAATAGAGTCTCTGATCCAGGTACAATATACCAAAATAGAGTCTCTGATCCAGGTACAATATACCAAAATAGAGTCTCTGATCCAGGTACAATATACCAAAATAGAGTCTCTGATCCAGGTACAATATACCAAAATAGAGTCTCTGATCCAGGTACAATATACCAAAATAGAGTCTCTGATCCAGGTACAATATACCAAAATAGAGTCTCTGATCCAGGTACAATATACCAAAATAGAGTCTCTGATCCAGGTACAATATACCAAAATAGAGTCTCTGATCCAGGTACAATATACCAAAATAGAGTCTCTGATCCAGGTACAATATACCAAAATAGAGTCTCTGATCCAGGTACAATATACCAAAATAGAGTCTCTGATCCAGGTACAATATACCAAAATAGAGTCTCTGATCCAGGTACAATATACCAAAATAGAATCTCTGATCCAGGTACAATATACCAAAATAGAATCTCTGATCCAGGTACAATATACCAAAATAGAATCTCTGATCCAGGTACAATATACCAAAATAGAGTCTCTGATCCAGGTACAATATACCAAAATAGAGTCTCTGATCCAGGTACAATATACCAAAATAGAGTCTCTGATCCAGGTACAATATACCAAAATAGAGTCTCTGATCCAGGTACAATATACCAAAATAGAGTCTCTGATCCAGGTACAATATACCAAAATAGAATCTCTGATCCAGGTACAATATACCAAAATAGAATCTCTGATCCAGGTACAATATACCAAAATAGAATCTCTGATCCAGGTACAATATACCAAAATAGAATCTCTGATCCAGGTACAATATACCAAAATAGAATCTCTGATCCAGGTACAATATACCAAAATAGAATCTCTGATCCAGGTACAATATACCAAAATAGAATCTCTGATCCAGGTACAATATACCAAAATAGAATCTCTGATCCAGGTACAATATACCAAAATAGAATCTCTGATCCAGGTACAATATACCAAAATAGAATCTCTGATCCAGGTACAATATACCAAAATAGAATCTCTGATCCAGGTACAATATACCAAAATAGAATCTCTGATCCAGGTACGTACATCCAGTGTGTGTATGGTTTAATCATGTTCCTACTTCCATTAAATCTCTGGTTCAGGTACATATCTCCAGTAAATCTCTGGTTCAGGTACTCATCTCCAGTAAATCTCTGATTCAGGTACATATCTCCAGTAAATCTCTGGTTCAGGTACTCATCTCCAGTAAATCTCTGGTTCAGGTGCACATCTCCAGTAAATCTCTGGTTCAGGTACATATCTCCAGTAAATCTCTGGTTCAGGTACATATCTCCAGTAAATCTCTGGTTCAGGTACATGTCTCCAGTAAATCTCTGGTTCAGGAACATATCTCCAGTATGTCTCTGGTTCAGGTACATATCTCCAGTAAACATCTGGTTCAGGTACATATCTCCAGTAAACATCTGGTTCAGGTTCTCATTTCCATTAAATCTCTGGTTCAGGTACACATCTCCAGTAAATCTCTGGTTCAGGTACTCATCTCCAGTAAATCTCTGATTCAGGTACATATCTCCAGTAAATCTCTGGTTCAGGTACTCATCTCCAGTAAATCTCTGGTTCAGGTGCACATCTCCAGTAAATCTCTGGTTCAGGTACATATCTCCAGTAAATCTCTGGTTCAGGTACATATCTCCAGTAAATCTCTGGTTCAGGTACATGTCTCCAGTAAATCTCTGGTTCAGGAACATATCTCCAGTATGTCTCTGGTTCAGGTACATATCTCCAGTAAATCTCTGGTTCAGGAACATATCTCCAGTAAATCTCTGGTTCAGGTACATGTCTCCAGTAAATCTCTGGTTCAGGAACATACAGTCTAACCTGTATTTAATGGCCACTGTTGTGAAATTATGAAAGTGGCCTTTATAGAGAGGTGGCCTCTCAATTGAGGTTCCTTTTTTTCGAACCCAAGTTGCGGCAATTTGCACGTTGATATTTGAATACAGTTTAATAATAAGATATAAAACATCATCTGTTATTATTTATTATCTTGTTAGCAAGTAATTTGAAGAAAGACCAATCTTTATTTTATGACACAACTATAAATACAAAAGAACAAAATTGAAAGAAAGGCATGTACAAGTTTTAATGAAGCTATTGAAAAAAAGAGCGGATGTGCGATTGTTTCAAACGGCTGTCAATACATTCATTTGCTATCAGATCGTCAATCTCCATAAGACAAGACAGAATATCACATTTGCCCCCTGTATTGCAAACTTTTTCATTTTTGCCAAAGAATCAATAAAATCGTTCATTAACATAACTGGTTCGACTTCACTCTTGTCACATTCACTTTCGAGTGACCGCCTCCTGGAACCACTTCCAGGTTAAATCATTTATATCTTCATTTCCTGATTGATGTCTTTTTCTTTTCCTTTCACCGGACACATTATTTTCTATGTCCTCTAAAATTTCCGCTTTTCTTTGTAATATTTGGAGAACTTGCATCCTGCCAACACCGAGGTCTTTAGCAACGACCTGTGCACTTTTTTCAGTCTCAAGCATCGAAAGTGCATTGTAGCGCTCTTCAAGAGTTAAAGTTTTTTGTTTGCTGCTCATATTTCGAAGTGATTTGCCACAATAGTGATAATATACCTGTATTGTGTATACCAGTGACATAAATTAAATCAAACTCAATATAAGATGTATGGTGAATTTTGTTTACGTGCCATCAGCTGTTTTCTTTGTAGGAATGTTCACGTGGCGAGAAAACTTGTCAAATGACTTGTGGTCAAAACAGCCATTTATACAAAGTTCAATTGCAAGTTTGGGGAAGAAAAGGGTGGCCGCTGGCCATGTTAGACAGGTGGCCATTAGATTAGGTATCATTAATGAGCAAAAAGGATTGGGAGGGTCTGAAAACGGCCATTATAAGCAGGTGCCCGTCTAACTAAGGTGGCCATTATGACAGGTTAGACTGTATCTCCAGTAAATCTCTGGTTCAGGTGCACATCTCCAGTGAATCTCTGGTTCAGGTACATATCTCCAGTAAATCTCTGGTTCAGGTACATATCACCAGTAAATCTCTGGTTCAGGTGCACATCTCAAGTAAATCTCTGGTTCAGGTATATATCTCCAGTAAATTTCTGGTTCAGGTACATATCTCCAGTAAATCTCTGGTTCAGGTACATATCACCAGTAAATCTCTGGTTCAGGTGCACATCTCAAGTAAATCTCTGGTTCAGGTATATATCTCCAGTAAATTTCTGGTTCAGGTACATATCTCCAGTAAATCTCTGGTTCAGGTACATATCTCCAGTAAATCTCTGGTTCAGGTGCACATCTCAAGTAAATCTCTGGTTCAGGTATACATCTCCAGTAAATCTGTGGTTCAGGTATATATCTCCAGTAAATTTCTGGTTCAGGTACATATCTCCAGTAAATCTCTGGTTCAAGTACATATCACCAGTAAATCTCTGGTTCAGGTATACATCTCCAGTAAATCTGTGGTTCAGGTACATATCTCCAGTAAATCTCTGGTTCAGGTACATATCTCCAGTAAATCTCTGGTTCAGGTACATATCTCCAGTAAATCTCTGGTTCAGGTACATATCTCCAGTAAATCTCTGGTTCAGGTGCACATCTCCAGTAAATCTCTGGTTCAGGTACATATCTCCAGTAAATTTCTGGTTCAGGTACACATCTCCAGTAAATCTCTGGTTCAGGTACATATCTCCAGTAAATCTCTGGTTCAGGTACTCATCTCCAGTAAATCTCTGGTTCAGGTACACATCTCCAGTAAATCTCTGGTTCAGGTACATTTCTCCAGTAATTCTCTGGTTCAGGTACACATCCCAGTAAACATCTGGTTCAGGTACACATCTCCAGTAAATCTCTGGTTCAGGTACACATCCCAGTAAACATCTGGTTCAGGTACATATCTCCAGTAAATTTCTGGTTCAGGTACATATCTCCAGTAAATTTCTGGTTCAGGTATACATCTCCAGTAAATCTCTGGTTCAGGTACACATCCCAGTAAATCTCTGGTTCAGGTACATATCTCCAGTAAATCTTCTGGTTCAGGTACATATCTCCAGTAAATTTCTGGTTCAGGTATACATCTCCAGTAAGTCTCTGGTTCAGATAAGAACCTCCAGAATTTCAATGGTTGAGGTACATTTCTCCAGTACCTTTCTGGTTCAAGTACATACCTCAGTGCATCTATAGTTCAGACACATACCTCCAGAATTTATAAGGATCAGGTTAGAACCTCCATTGTGTCTATGGTTCAGGCATATATACTTTCAGTATATCTATATAGTTCAAGAGGCGACTGATTT